CAAGTTGAAGAACTCCAAGTGATTGTTCATGAGTTAGATGAAGAAAATCTTGGTCTGAAAGAAGGTTTTGTGGTTGGCTCTATCATAGAGAAACTGCCTTCGAATTGGAAGGACTTCAAGATTTATCTGAAGCATCTAACTGAAGACATGAGCATGGATCAGTTGATTCTCAAACTGCGTGTGGAGGAGGATCATCGCAAAAATGAGAAGTATGATGTCTCATCGCTGGAGGCAAAGGCCAATGTTGTGGAAGGAGGTGACTCACACAAGGCAAGGCACCATCAGAAAAACAAAGGCAAGGATGCTGCAAAGAAAGCAATAACTGCTGTGAAAGGGAAAACCTTCAAGAAAATCAAAGGAGGTTGCTGGGTTTGTGGAAAGACAGGTCATAGGGCAAAGGACTGCCGCCATAAGAAGGATCAGAATTCTGGAAGTTCCAATCAAGCAAATGTTGCAGAAGACACATTTGTTGCTGTTGTCTCTGAAGTCAATTTATTGACTAATTCAAATGACTGGTTTGTTGATACAGGAGCAACAAGGCATGTGTGTGCTGATCGAAATTTATTTGTTACTTACCAATCTGTTGATGGTGGAGCAAATCTGTACATGGGAAATGCAACTGCGTCTGCCGTTGCAGGGAAGGGAAAAGTGACGCTCAAACTCACTTCCGGAAAAGAGCTTTCACTTACCAATGTTCTGCATGTTCCAGATATTCGTAAGAACCTGATTTCTGGATCACTTCTGAGTAACAAAGGTTTCAAAATTGTGTTTGAATCTGACAAGTTTGTAATCACCAAAGGTGGGATGTATGTGGGAAAGGGCTACCTGGCTGAGGGGCTCTTCAAAATGAATGTACTTTCTGTTAATGTTATGAATAATAATAACAAGCCAAGTGCTTCTTCTGCTTACTTGATTGAGTCCTCTACATTATGGCATGCAAGATTAGGTCATGTTAATTTTCGTTCTCTTCAAAGAATGGTTAACTTAGGCCTATTGCCAAAATGTTCCATGAACAAAGTATCTAAATGTGAGATATGCACAGAATCTAAATATGCAAGACACTCATATAAATCAGTGGAAAAATCCAACGAAATACTTGGTTTAATCCATAGTGATCTTTGTGATTTCAAATCCACACCAACTCGTGGAGGAAAGAACTATTATATTTCCTTCATTGATGATTGCAGCAAGTATTGTTATGTCTATTTGATTCATAGTAAAGATGAAGCTTTAAACATGTTTAAGACATTTAAAGCCGAAGTTGAAAATCAACTAGACAAAAGAATAAAGGTCTTAAGATCGGATAGAGGTGGTGAATACGAATCTAATGACTTTGCAGAATTTTGTTCAACACATGGAATAATACATCAAACAACAGCACCATATACTCCTCAACAAAATGGAGTGGCTGAACGGAAAAATCGTACATTGAAGGATATGATTAATTCCATGTTGAACAGTTCTGGTGCACCACATAATTTATGGGGTGAGGCACTCCTTGCTGCAAATACGATTTTGAACCGAATTCCACATAAGAAGACTAATCAATCTCCTTATGAAATCTGGAAAGGTAGGTTACCTACATATAAAACCTTGAAAGTGTGGGGTTGTCTTGCAAAAGTTCAAGTGCCTCTTCCGAAGAGACAAAAACTTGGACCAAAAACAGTGGATTGTATTTTTATTGGTCATGCCTATAATAGTTCGGCATATAGATTTTTGGTTCATAAATCTGAAATTGCAGACATTCATATAAACACGATACTTGAATCTGCAGAAGTTGAGTTCTTTGAGGAAATTTTTCCTTACAAAGATAGGTCATATGTTTTGAACAAAAGAGTATATGAGGTTACTACAAGAAATGATGACGATAATCATGCCTCAACTTCGAGAGTTCAAATCCACGATTTGGAACCACGAAAGAGTAAAAGAGCAAAAATTGCAAAGGATTTTGGTCCTGATTTCCTCACTTTTGTGACTGAAGAAGAGCCTCAAACTTATAAGGCTGCATTAGAATCGTCTGAAGCACCTTATTGGAAAGAAGCTATCCAAAGTGAAATAGAATCCATCATGCAAAATAATACATGGGAATTGTTTAATTTGCCTCCTGGAAATAAACCAATAGGACACAAATGGATTTTCAAGAGGAAATTCAGACCGGATGGTACCATAGACAAGTATAAGGCTTGTTTAGTTGCCAAAGGGTATCGTCAAAAAGAAGGACTTGACTATTTTGACACTTATTCACCAGTAGCTAGAATAACATCTATAAGGTTATTAATAGCTATAGCGTCTGTGTACAATCTTGAGATACATCAAATGGATGTCAAGACTGCATTTCTAAATGGTGAATTAGACGAAGAAATATATATGGATCAACCTGAAGGTTTCATTGTCAAAGGTCAAGAAAAGAAAGTTTGTAAGTTGATTAAATCATTATATGGACTCAAACAAGCGCCTAAGCAATGGCATGAAAAATTCGATCATAATATGATTACGAATGGATTTGTAATCAATGAAAGTGATAAATGCATTTATGTTAAGAAAACGAAAAATGCTTGTGTTATTGTATGTCTATATGTTGATGACATGCTTATAATGGGAACAAACAAAGATGTGATTAACTCCACAAAGAAAATGCTAAATTCCAGTTTTGACATGAAAGATATGGGATTAGCTGATGTGATTCTTGGAGTTCGAATTCTAAGGAATTCAGATGGATATGTCCTAACTCAATCACATTATGTGGAAAAGGTTCTAAAAAGGTTTGGACATTATGATTGTAAACCTGCAGTAACTCCTTTTGATCCCATTCATAAACTTACTAAAAACGAAGAAGAAAGCGTATCTCAATTGGAGTATACCCAAGTTATAGGTTGCTTGATGTACATCATGAAGTGTACAAGACCTGATCTTGCTTATTCAATAAGCCGACTAAGTAGGTATTCAAGTAATCCTGGAAGAGATCATTGGAATGCTTTAATAAGGGTATTAAGATATTTAAAGCATACACTAAACTATGGTTTGCATTACACTCAATATCCCCCAGTATTAGAAGGATATAGTGATGCAAATTGGATTTCAGGGAGCACAGACAGTAAATCCACAAGTGGATATGTATTTACACTTGGTGGAGCAGCTGTGTCATGGAAATCATCCAAGCAAACATGTATAGCACGTTCGACAATGGAATCAGAGTTTATAGCCTTAGATACAGCTGCTGATGAAGCTGAATGGCTTAAACATTTTATGGAAGATATTCCATTCTGGCCCAAGCCTGTGACTGCAATATGTATACATTGTGACAGCATGGCTGCACAAGGTCGAGCCAAAAACGCTGAATATAATGGGAAGTCGAGACATATAAGGCGACGACATAAAACCATTAGACAACTACTCAAGAATGGAACTATTTCCATTGATTATATTAAATCTAAGGAGAATATTGCCGATCCTTTGACAAAAGGCCTATCCAAGGATCAAGTGGCATTTACATCGAAGGGAATGGGTTTAAAGCCAACTCAATGAGTTATAACTTGACGGAAACCTAACCTAGCTAATTGGAGATCCCATGGTCTAGGTTCAATAGGCAAACTAGTTGAGGAAAACTCAAAGGAAACAACACAATCTTTACTCATTCTTATGATGGAAAATAGTGTGTTGCCTGTTAGACGAAAAGGGTGAATAACTATTCTTAATAATGCTAATATCTTATGATTAAGATGAATAGAACAGGATATTCTTTATTAGCATTACCTATATGAGATTGATGTGGGGTCGCATCTTTGAGAATTGGTATGGCTACAGTTCTCTAAAGGTCTCATGAAACCAGGATATGTTCAGGACCAAAATGAACACAACCGTATGAATTGACGTGTGTCAAGATGTGATATGTGTGATACTTATTGTTTCGATTTTACTACAAAGAATGATCAGTTCAAGATAGTAAATTCACTGCTTCATTAGGTAAAACCGGTAAGTACTCACTAGAGAAGGTTCAAGTCCAAAAGACACCTATCCCGATGCGTATCATATCTAAGTTCTCTGGAAGTACATTACTAATGTAGCTAGTATCTTATTTTCAATTCAAATGTGGGGTATTGCTAAAGTTTGAATAGAAAATGTGGGGTATTGTTGGAACTGTGTTTTATGTGGGACTTGGAGTCCCACATCGCCCAAACATTCATTTTACATCACCTTTATAAGTAAATGGACTCACTTATAGTTTGACTTGATTTGGGCCAAAGCCATGGACCTTGGGCCTTAGAATTGGAGAGTTTGGGTGTATATATTAAACTGATAAGCATGAATGGTTGGATAAGTTCACATCATGCCATTATATATAGGGCAATAAAATCAGAAACGTGAATTAAGTTTTTCCAAATTCATTCCACCATATTTCGCTGAGAACCACACAACCAATTCGCCAAGAATCCAAGTTCGAGTGCAAGAACTTGGATTAGATAGTTGTATCCTGCAAGATAGACGTCCATCGAACTGCTGCACTAGTGTAGGGACGAGTTTCTGTCTTAGGAGATTGCTCTGCAAGCCTCTATCGTCAAAGAACAAGTCAGTGATTTGTGATTTTATATATAATTACACTAAGTGTTTATGTTTTAATATATTGTATTTGTTGTTGAGTTTTACCATTTGAATTAAAACTGTGCAAATTGTTGTATAATATATACTTAACGTTTGATTGGTTCTAACACATCTAACATACATAAATAAAAAATGATTTATCACTTTTACATTTTCTTTTCTTTTTCTTTTTCTATTAGCCATATTAGAATATAAGATCAAATTGTTAAATACTTGAATTCTAAAATATGGATAATTGGCAGAGAGGGTATCCATGTGGGCCAAGAAATTAGAAGGTCCAGGTTACGCAATATCTCTAGCAGACGAAGAGAGTATTTTTGGGTTTAACTTGACCCTTATATATAACAATTGGTGAGTTTATATAACAATAGGAGATCTGGAGATACCAATGGCGCCTTTCATAGCCCTCCAACACACTTCAAGCATGAAACTGTCTTCCTTCTTCAACATACGACCTCTGGCCCCTTCTCTTTTCCCCTTTATTCTTAACAGCCGCATACAAACTTTATCCACCATTACGGTTCCAGAAACAATGAAGATTGAAAAGTCGATAAGAACCCAAACCGACGTCGGACTTAGGATGATGAAGCCGCTGTTTCTCAATGAAGGCAAAAAGAGTAATATAGTATACTCACCACTGTCTATCCACGTTGTATTGAGCCTGATAGCAGTCGGTACAAACGATCAAACCGAGGAAGAGTTGCTTTTTTTCCTCAAGTCCCAGTCCACCGCCCACCTCAACTTGCTTGCCTCTAAAATGGTCCCTCTGGTTTTTGCTGACGGATCACCTAGTGACAGGACAATTTTGTCCTTTGCCAATAGACACTGGGTTGACAAGTCGACCCCTCTCAAGCCTTTTTTCAAAAAGGTGGTGTACAGGTTTTACAAGGCAGCTCAAAAGGAAGTCGATTTCCAAACCAAGGCTAAACAAGCGAGAATTGAATTGAATTCATGGGCCGAAAAGAAGACTAAGGACATTAATAAAGAGATTCTTCCTTTTCAGTCAGTTGACAACTTAACAAGGCTCATCTTTGCGAATGCATTGTACTTCAAAGGAGTTTGGGATGACAAGTTTGATGCATCAGAAACTAAAGAGTATGACTTCAACCGTATCAATGGCAAATCGTCAGTTAAGGTGCCCTTCATGACCAACTATAAGAATCAATATTTAGAAGCCTTTGACTGCTTCAAAGTCTTAAAGCTCAACTATGAAAAAGGTGAAAATGAGGAGTGGCATTTCTCCATGTGCGTTTTTCTTCCAGATGAAAAAGATGGGCTGCCAACTTTGGTTGATAGAGTTTGTTCTGAACTTGGTTTCTTAAATCGTCATCTTCCACGCCAGAAAGTTAAAATGGGTGACTTTAGAATTCCAAAGTTTAATATAGCTTTTGGTTTTGAAGCTTCCACGATTCTCAAGGATTTAGGACCAGTACTGTCTTTCCATGTTGATCTATATAAAGGAGGTAATTTGATAGAGATGGTTAATTCACCTCTGGGTGAGACTCCTTCTATTTTTGGTGTACTCCATAAATCCTTCATTGAAGTTAATGAAGAAGGAACAGAAGCTGCCGTTGTTACTGCCATTGAGATAATAGTTGAGGCACTTCATCCTTATCATCCTCCAAAGATGATAGACTTTGTGGCAAATCACCTGTTCTTGTTTTTCCTCAGAGAGGAAACGAATGGAGCAGTGTTGTTCATTGGGCAGGTGCTCAATCTGCTCGAAGGCTGATTGTTACCGGAGTGGTTAGTTTAAATCAGGTCTGTTCCATTAAGTTTACTAGATGAAATAGTTAGGGCAAACTTCTAGATTGCTATATAATTTGGTTGTAGTTTAATTCCTTAACATGCATAGTTAGCATGCATAAAGCGACCTAATTTCTCAAGTATGAAACTAATTCAATCCTAAATTTTATTTTTTTGAGTTTGTAAACTCTCTGCATTCGTATCAAACTCTGTATAATTTCTACCAAAATGTTTTGAACTTCTTGCAAGAAGTGGCCTCCACAATGTTGTCACAAAGATAGACGAAGTAGAAGCCCCAAAAGTCCTTGATGACGGTTAAAGCACTCACGTCTCAAGAGTATAAATGGAACACAACTGTAATTTCCTAACAGCAGAAACCAAATGTTGTATTCCTCTGTGATTTGGCTGCAAAAACAGGCCAAAAAATTTGTCGTTGTCCCTCGTCTCTGGCCTCTCTCTGTCTCTTTCTAACACCCGAAGTCGCCCAACAGCCAACTGACCAACTCCGTCTCCCGAATAAAATGCAAAGTATGTAATAATCCTTAATTCAACAATGAAAATCCCCAAATTTTAAGGATTGTATGTCTACTTGCACCAGAGAAATCTTCATGCAAGGTTTGTAGTCTTTACTTGCTAAGGTTCGTGAAGAGGATTTTAGAACCAGATGCTTACAAACTTTTTGGACGAAAATTAGAGTCGCAGAAGAAGATGAAAGAGGAAGTTCAAGTGAGTAAGTCGTTTCTTTATAAAATTGCAGTGTGTTAATGGAATTACGATTTAATTAACATTTTTGAGGGAATTTTTGACATAACTAAAATGTCACTAGTACTATGATCTACTAGTCTAGTGGGATTCCCCCTCACTTATAAGTGATACGTTTTTTTTTTTTTTTTTTTTTTTTTTTGAACAAACTATAGTATCTCCAATAATGGTGTGGGAGTGAGCTAAGCCAATATAGGCTAGTAATAATGTGGTTCAAATTTGTTTTTGGCGAGAATCGAACCTAAAACCATAGTACTAAGTGGCATTGTAAGTGAGAGGTCTTATGTGACGACCCGTCCTAAATTATTATATATATTCTCCCCTAGTGTGTAAAGTGACGATATTGCACTCGTTGGCTTAGTGACGTGGATGGACATATGTAGTTTTAAATTATTTCCTCACCGTTGTAATTAAATCGTACTCGACGTCACGAACTCGTTGACACAAGTTAGGGTCGAATCAGATTCATAACAAAAATGTTACGATTATTTGAATATGTAAATGGGTAGAAATATTTTAGGGTTGAGTACACCTATCACATATTCACCAATCACAATAGTTATGATGTTCTTGAGCCCAATCAGATTTTTGGGTTTCTTTCTTTGGGCCAACTGAGAATCCTATCTCTCTCTCTCCCTCTTTTTCATTGCAGCCTAATCAAAAAAATGATATTTTCTTATGCTGCCCAATCAAACACACGCACATGTGTACTTTCACCCTCTTCTCTCTCTTTCTCGATCCTTCTCCCTCCATCTCCCTTTGCACCATGAAACCCATACACCCAACTATCATCAAATTCGCACGAATCGAGTTTTTAGAACCCACCATCGCCTTTCTTGTGACTCCACGAGCTTAACCATCCCTGTAGATCGTCGAATGGACGTTAGGAACTCGAGAATGTAGAAGCTCCGATGAGGAGCTAGGTTGCTCTGGCATGATCGTGGACAATTCAAAAGTTTTAAGGCTCGAGGAGGCTTCCAAGCAACTTATCTAGGATCCTAAAGTAGCTTTGGAGTGAAGTTGACGTCGGAATAGGTGTATTCGAGGGATTCCAGTTTTGGCTGGAACTTTCGAGAGTTTTTCCGACCATTTTCCGTTAGTTTTAGGACTTCTAATAGGTACGAATGTGTTATACTCTTCAAGACCTTCAAATTCATATAAATTTCATGGATTTTGATTGAGAAATAAAGTAGATATTAAGCTTTGAAAATTTTCCAGAAATTGGAGAACCAGACGGCGGCTGGCGGGGACTGGCGAGGTCCACTGGAGAAGAAGAAGAATATTTCGTCAAAGTTGATGGAATATTCTAACGGCGTCAAGTAACACTGTTATAATTTAATAGAATATTATAATATTTTGACGGAATATTCCTAACGCCGTTAGGGTTTTCCATCCCATGTGCTAGGCACGTGCCTGCGTGTGGCCGTGCCTTGGCCGGCACGTAAGGGTGCGTCCGACATCTAAAAATTTTTGTAAAAATATGGGGGTGTTAATCTTGTTGAGTAGATCATGCTGGTGTATTCAAACACCCTATTTGAGCAAGCTTTGAGAAGTTATTCCTAGGTTTTGTTTAGGTGCTATTGAATTAATGTTAAACTAGTTATATCGCATATAGGTGAGATGTACCCCGAGAACGAGCGTGGACAAGTGAAGTAAGAGGGCTACGATCCTGCTACTTATCAGTGAGTGGGCATTTATTATATATGTATGTATGTATGTATGTATGTATGTATGTATGTATGTATGTATGTATGTATGTATATGTTTTACGATTTCCAAAAAACGTTTTTAATTGAATTTATGCCTAGTATGCCATGTCTATACCACTTATTGCTATATTGTTGCATTAGTATGAATTGTGAATTATACTATTTGATGCTGCAGAGGCTCAGGTAAGCTTCAGGTGAGTTAGCATGTGATTGGTCCTATTGCATTGCATATTGCTATGCATTTATGCATTATAGCTTATTATGCTGCACCCCGATGTAAGTGTTCATGCCCGAGGCCAGGGCACAGTTTTCACATGATTGTTCACCGCTCACACCGCACGCTCACCTTGGATCCAAGTTTTGGTGCTAACCTGTCATACAGACCACAATAGGTAGTTCTGACTTGTAGATGACCTGCGATTTATCACACAATTTTCACGTGATCATAGCACTTGAGCGTACTTATTTACACCCAGCCTGTCATACAGGTCACATTAGGTGACTCCGACTCCTGTGCAAACATATGTTGATGAGTTATAGATCCAGTCGTATAGGTCATATTAGGTGACTCCAACTGGCATACTACTTTATATTGGTTTCATACCTTGCTTACATCTTTTAGTGCTAAAATATTATGACATGTCATACTTCAATTTTCGCTGGCCTTGTGCTTTGGTTTTTCGTACCTACATAGTAGTATTATCTAGAAACTATACAAGTTTTACGAAGAGAGGTTATTATGTTCATAAAGCTAAATATGTTTTCAAACACTTTGTTTTTGCCCACTCACCCTTCTGTTTTGCGCCCCTCCAAGTTCTAGGTAGCTGATCATCTTTGGTGGCTCACAAGGACTACACGGCGGTTCTGAAGTTTCCACAAATAAAAGTAGGGATCTTCTCCCTGTTTGTATAATTAATACTTAGTTAGTTTGACTGCACTTTCGTTTTACCTATACTATGATACGCCTGTATCTTATATTTGATTACTTTCACACACTTACATAGTATCCCTAGTTAAATAAGTTTAGTTTTGGTTTTTATTTATTCATATTTTTCGTATCATTATCACTTATGTTGCAGACTTGACTACGTCACCCTCACGTGACAGTCAGCATGCCTTGACTCTGGTCAGGGTGTGTCATCTTACGTTTGATTCTAGCCAAAGATGAATTTGAACCACATTATTGTTATCCCATTGTAAAAATTATCTCACTCTCCCAACCTTTTAGTGTACATATTAAAAAAAAAAAAAAAAAAAAAAAAAAAAAAAAAAAAACAAACAAACAAACAAACGTGAAATATAGAATTTAATGAGAAGTAAAATTACTTTGATCTAAAGTTGAAAACCAACAAATATTTAAGAGTAAATTGTAACAATAGTCCCTCAACTTTAATCAAATTGGAGTAATGGTCTCCTACTAAAAATTCATTACCATTGACCCCTCAACTCATCAAAACGTGTAGCTATGGTCCTTTTCATTGAAATTTTTTCTATTGTGATGGGAACACAAGTGGTACGCCACATGTTTTAATAAAAGTGACGAGAAATTTTATTTTTTAAATTATTAACTGTTTAGCACGCATATCCAACCATTTGTCTAAGGACACGTGGTGTGCCACATCATGTACCGGTTACAATGAAAAATTTCTCATTTTCGTCAATTTCGTCAAAATTTTGTCAAAATGAGTTATGTTGGAAGGACCATTGCACAATTAGGTTAAAGTTGATAGACTATTTCTTCAATTGGATTAAAGTTCAAGGATCATTTCTCCAATTGAGTTAAAGTTGAGGAACCATTGATTATGACTTTTTAGTTGAGGGACCACAACTGCATGTTTTGATGAGTTGAGAAACCAATGATAATGGATTTTTAGTTGATGGATTATTGTTCCAATTAAATTAAAATTGAGAGATCATTACTACAATTTATTCAATATTTAATTTTGTTAGATGTACGCAAACATGTCATACATATTAGTACCATAAACAATCCCTCACGCGACCCCCTTCTTCTGCTTCCCTCACACACAAAGACACAGCACAAGCTCTCCCTCACGTGACCTCCTTCTTCTGCTTCCATTTCTCTGTCTCCGGCTGTCTGTTTTCACAGATTCACTTCTCACTGGGTGAGTCAGCAGTCACCTTTGTCCTCAGCTGCAGCAACACAACACTCGTGTCGTTTCTTGTCTCTCCATTTCCGAAGCTCTTCACTTCAGCGCTTTCGCATTCCCCTTCTTCTATGTAGCCCCACTTCCGACACAAACTACTACCACTCAAATGGGTTGCTTACACTCCAAAACCGCCCACCTTCTCCGCTCCCCCGACCACCCCTCTTCTCTACCCGACACCCAGAAACCCGACCCGGGTAGGTCATTACCTCTCTCGGCTCCTCTTTTTTTGCTTTTTATGGCATTGATTTTTATGGGTTTTCTTTTTATTTATTTCGTTTTGTTTTTGAAGCTAATGGGGATCCAGCTGCGGCGGCGGATCCCCAGGTGCCGGCATTCAAAGAGTACAGCGTCGACGAGCTCCGGAAGGCCACGAACGGGTTCAGCTCCGAATGCATTGTTTCCGAAAGCGGCGAAAAAGCTCCCAATGTTGTTTACAGAGGGAAGCTTGATGGCAATCGCCTTGTCGCTGTTAAACGCTTCTCCAAGCAATCTTGGCCCGACGCCCAGCAGTTCGTGGTGAGTACAAGATCATTATTTTCTGTTTGGTTCCCGAGAAAATGAAGGACAAAGAAAATAGCTTTCATAACAGAGTATTTTGGGACTTGGGTTTTCATTTGGGGCTGATCTAGCTGGTAATGCTGAGGAATTGGAAAAGACAAAGTAAAGTAAAATTTTGGGACTTGGATTTTTCTATTCTTTGTACTAGACATTTGATTTAAATTTGTTGTCTTTACTTCACTTCTCATTTTTCTTGAAAATTAAAAACCGAAAACTTGTTTGGTAACTACTTTCTACTTTCAGTTATAAAACTGAAACCGAAACCGAAAACGAAATTTCAAATAACCCCTAATTTTTCTTCATTTTCTAAAAATAATACACATTGGAGGGTTTTTGGCATTATTGGATGGTTTGATACTGAGTTTGATGTTAATGAATATGATTGGGCAGGCTGAGGCTTCTGGAGTAGGGAAGTTGAGGCACAAGAGATTGGTGAATCTGATTGGTTGCTCTGCCGAGGGTGACGAACGGCTCTTGGTGGCCGAGTATATGCCCAATGATACTCTTTCCAAGCATCTCTTCCATTGTAATTCCGCTCAATCACTTCCCTTTTTCTTTCTTTTCTCTAGTGCATATCATTGAGTTTGTAACTAACCTTCCTTTTGCTTTTAGCTTTTTTGAACACTTTTTTGTGCACTATGATCAACTCTTTTTCGTCTTTGCATTTTTACTTATGTCCAACACTTTTTGTGCACCTACAATAACAAAACCTCTCCTTCCGTACTTTTCTGAAGTATTGCGCACAAGGTTTTAAAACACTACCATCGATTATTTTACTTGACTAATGTTTCCCTAGTCCAACTAAAGCCGCTGATGATTCCTGTGTATCTATGACTTATGTGTTACTTTATGGTGATCGGTATACTGCTCCAAAACGATATCCCTACTCAGGCCATTATGTTTTCTTTTACTATTAACTTCCTATGATTTCTTATAGGGGACAAGAAGCCATTGCCATGGGAAATGCGTGTTAGAGTTGCATACTATATTGCAGAGGCACTTGATCATTGTAATACAGAAAACCAGAAGATCTATCATGATTTGAATGCATATAGAGTTCTTTTTGACGAGGTATGCATATGATTTGTGACAAAGAATACAGTTATCTTGTTAGGAGGATTATGAATGCCTCCCGTGGTTTCAGGTTATTCCATT